CTATGGGAGTGTAAGACTTTAGTTCTTGTCCTTCACTTTGAGCCATGAAAAGCCTTGAATGCATCTTGAGCTTAATCTGGATCTAGGGTTAGTGTTAGGATGGTTTGATGCATGAAAATGGATAAAGTTACAAAATTTATCCATGAAGTTCATATCTTGTGGTATTTTGGAAGTTTTGATTATTGGTCTTAAAGGATTAAAAACCCTACGTCGAAGTTGGCTGAATTAACGTAAAGTGTGATGTGACTAAATAAGGTGTCGCGACGCAAGTTGCGAATGTTTTTTCTTTTAGTGATCGTGACACGACCAAGGAATGGGTCACGTCGCATTGACCGTTAACTATTGATTTTGACCGCATTGACCATTGACTGTTAACTTTGACCGAGTTGACAATTGACATTTGACTAAGTTTGACTTTTGAGTCAAACTTTGAGGAATGAATTTGTTGGGTCAAAAATATGGTTTATACTTTACTTTTCTAGGTTTTAATAGTTTTCGGTCCATGTGGTTAGGAGGGTTCACGGCCCAGGTGGGTGTTTACGGCCGTGAACCTGTTCACGGCCCATGTTCCATATAAATAGATGTCAAATGGTGGAGAGTATACGGCTAGAAAGGATCTTAAGTGTGTGTACTCTAAGGTGTTCTAGAGAGAGAAAGTAGAGAAGGTGCAAGTGTGTGTGTGAATCTCATGTATTGATCATCATTCTTATATTGAATACATTGAAGATTCATCTTATTCTTCTTCTCCTTCTTCTCTATTTTGATCTTGCTTCATCTAATTGATTGGGATTCCGCACCATCAATTGGATCTGATTGATACGTCAAGCAATCTTTGGGACTTACAGAATTGTAGTCTGAGGTTTGGGCTCTATTATCATCTTGGTGGTTCGTGAGACTAATTCTTACGTGTTCGAGTGTGTAGCTGCGTTTCTTTACTTCCCAGTTCAGGTGAGTTATTTGTTGTAGTATATATCCTTTGTATGATAGGATGCATATATATTATGGTATGTTATTTAGGCAAGTATGCTAGTATAGTCTTTTGCATGTTAATCGTTTGATTGTTTTGATTGTATGATATGTTGACATATTATGTAGATGTGTTGATGGTGGATCAACATTGGAGATTAAAGCCTAGATACCCAAGGTTGATGGTAGATCCATACTAGAGCTAAGAGCTGTTGACCGGGCGGATTGAGACTAGAGCCAAGAACTTTGTTTGTATGGTGGATCAGCACTAGAGCCGAAAGTCTTGGCGGTACACATTGTATGTGTATTGTGATATGTAATATTTTGGGGAACTCACTAAGTTTTATGTTTATAGTTGTGAATTTAATGTTTCGGGTAGTTCTCGGATCGGGGGAACGCGCCAACTTGATTGTACGATATGCACATCGTTATCCTTCTATTTTAGACTTTCTCTGTTATGAGAATTTGATACATTTTGGCCTTATGATATGATGATGTTTTGAAAACAATTTACTACTTTATCTTTTATGAAAACAATTTTGAATAAATTACTTATATTTTTACATGAGAATTTTGACTTGATTTTTTAGGACGATACAATAACAAAAACCAACTAGAAAGTGAACTCATTGTGCTTTAATTAAGATCAAACTAAAAACCTTATTTTATAAAGCTTTTACTATAGATAAGTTATTTTTTGTTATACGTTTTTATGTCTAATATGTAGTTCTTTCGCAAAAAATACCCTCAAAAAATACAGAAAGTAAAGCCAAATGGCTAGAAATCGCAGATGAAGTGTCTGAAATCACAGTCCAGTCCAGTCTAGATATGCATTGGCGAGTTTATATATATTTATGGTGGGTCACGTGACCCACCTTTTTTATTTTTTTTCAACAAGTTATATATAATGAATTGTTGTGACCTACCATAAAAATTTTAAGTGCACTATCTTATTATTTTTGGCAAAAATATACACAAATTAGATTTTTAGAGCCGTTATTCTATGTTTTAATAACCCAGTGTTTATAGGGTATAATCCAATATGCATAGCCTAATACAAATTAAACTAAAAAAAAAGTTAACGCGACTTAAGAATGGTTTTCACCACAATGCATGAAGCTTCTACACTTCATTCAAATCGCCGATCATATTGCCCGTTTGCCCACCGGAGGTAAATTACTTTTGTTAATTTTGTGAAGATTAAGTAAAATATATTGTTTATATTTCTAATTTTGTGAACATTAAATTTGTTAGTTTTGGAATTCTAATTCCACCATCGATAATCGGCGATTCACAAATCACAAATTCTTCACTATATGTTTAATTCATTAATTTAGTGAATAACTTATTGTGATTTTTTTTCACTGTTTTAATTGCTCTATTCCATAAATCTAAATAGAACTTTGAATATTTTTTTTCTGATACGACTTGATCCAATCCGAACCTACAATAGCATTATTTTTAATAGTTTTCTTCTTATCGGTTTCATTTAAATAGCGAACCATATGGTTTTACGTTCTAAACTCGTCACTGCAGACTCAAAATTTCAAAAATCATAGTCAAAAGATCAAAAATCATAGTCAAAAGATCAAAAATCATAGTCAAAATGTCAAAAATCACAGTCTAACATGTTAGAAACCGAAAAAAGATCACCATTGGGCGCAATGTTTTAAAACCCGGGTCGACCTGACCGGTTCAACGGGTTGGACCGTGAGCCGGGGTAGAAGGCGGGTCAATTGAGAACGGTTTTTTGTAAAAATACGGATCGGATCGAACCGGCCGGGTTTCCCTAAACCGCGGTTCGACCGCTTATGGCGAACTGGTTAAAACCGGATTGACCAGTTTTAATAGGGCTTGGATAGTTGGATACAAGTAACGAACGCCAAAACAACGAGCCGTTTACGGTCTCTTCAATTTTTTTCAATGTTTAAACTTTGTGGACATCAAATTATTGGTTTATATGTTTATGTATTATGCAGCAAAGTAAAAGTATATAAAAACAAAAAAAGACTATAAACCGGGTTGACCCGGCGGTTCAACCGGTTGACCCGTAAATCGGTCTTCACACCGGGTCAACTAAAAACCCGGGTTTTAAAATATTGATTGGGCGAAAGGAAGTCACACATGAACTGACGTCGGAATAGATTTTTCTTTTTTTTTTTAAAGTGGGCTCCCGTAGCGAAATTGCGGCCCACAGAAATCACAATCCACAAAGACGGAACCACATCCAATTTTCAGAAATCACAACCCACCATGGGTTATATGTGATTTTGTTGGGTATCGAAGTTTTTTCTTAATTTGTGATTAGAAACTCTATAATTATGGAAAAAATTATATATATCTAAATAATATGTTAACTAAACTTAAAATTTACGCCATTCAAATCATATAGTAAATATAGAAAAAAATTATGAAAATAACCCTTCAATTATATTAAGTTTACGTTTTATAAAATAATCTTTTGGTAAATTGACTTTTGTTATTAGTAGTTTTAACTATTTATCATCCATTTTAACTTGAATGACATTATATTTATATTATCATGTTATCCATTTTTATTGAAATGGGTAGTTGAATTTATTAATAGTAAAAAACTATTTTCTAAATTTAAAGATTTTATTATATTATCCATTTTGATATATATAGATATATATATATATATATATATATATAGATATCTATATATATATATATATATATATTACCATTTTATCCATCTTTAGTAAAATATGTACTTTTATAATTGAATTATAAAAAAAAAAATTTGGATTTAAAAGTTTTAAATTTATCCCTTCAATTTTAATGAAAAATTTAAAATAAGTCTTGATATTGTAATTTATATTTTAACTCTTCAATTTTTTTTTTTTATAAAAATTATCAAACAGAAATAAATATTTAATTTTTTAAACGAAATTCATTTAGTAATATATAAATACATTCAAATTGAGTGTAATATTAGATATTACTGTACATTTCATATTTTAAATCTTTACCTTTTAACATCTTTGTGTATATTTTCTTTACATTTTCAAAAAAATCCATATCTTTAAAATTTTCATAAATCCAGCGTACAGATTATTTGTACTTCAAATCCCAATGGCAGTTAAAAATAATAATAATAATAATAATAAATAAATAACTTAAAAATCAGAATTTGCAAATTATTTATATTTGAACTCCAAATTATTAAACATTCGTTACACATTTAACTTTTCAAAACATTTAGACGAAACTGTAAAAATATCCCTATGGTATGTAGTTTTAGTATAAACCACAACTTTTTTACGTTGGTAGTCCTTTTAACCATGTTTGCGTATTTTGATCATTTGGAAAACTAAAAATACTAAAATACACTTTCTATACAATTTTTATGTTTTTTTATTTAATTTAAAGTTGTATTAATTAAAAAAATTGAGGGTCTCTCTCTCTCTCTCTCTCTCAATACTTTAGCTTTGCGAATCTACATCAGAAACGAAATAGAAAATCTTTTCTGTATTCAAAAAATTTACTCATCGCAGCATCAAATTCTTTTGACGAACTTGAGGATATTACGACCGGTGCTTGTGGTGTGGTGATGTTGTCGTGTTGGTGATGATGAAGAAGCTATAGGTGGAGGATTTTGAATAAGAAAATGAGGATGGATAATTATTTTTGGGTTTTGTGTTTATGAGAGAGAGATATGCCATGTTTTTATTTTTGTTCAATTACTAAAATGAATAAATAAATAATTTATTTAAAGAAAATGAAAAATAAATAAATTAATGGTATTATAGACATTTCAGAGTATACCGAATGCTCAAAAGTCAAAACCATAACCAAAATTGTTCAAAAGGACCGGATGTCCAAAAATATTGTGATTTGGACTGTTTTGTCAAAAAAACTTATCACTTATCACGCCTATAGAATTTACCGAGAAGATATGGTAGGTCTATTAGGGTCTACCTACCATTACCAACTACTCATTGACTGGTCCAACATATACCGATAAAAGAATATTTAAAAGTCTTATATACGTGACTCTCTTCTTTTATAGAGACATATTTAGTAAAACAAAGAGTAAACTAGTTTTCTATCCTAAACAGCAAAGATCGGAGGAACAACACTCAGCGCCGTCGCTCTGACGATCGTACCAGAAACATCTTTAATATCACGTAAGTTCATTTGTTTTTGTTATTAAAGAAACTAATTGAATCTTGTAATGTTAGTAGATGATTAATTAAAAGTAATTTAGATTATTTCAGGGTTTTCATAAATGTTCACATAAGCTATATCTAATTCTCATGGCATCTATTGTCGGATCTGTCTTTAAAAGGTATGATTAATTTTACGTAATTTGGTCTAAGTTTTTAACCTATTTGATCAAACTCTTGTTTACTAAATGGTTATGTGACAGTGGACCCTATGCTAATGTGGAGGCTAAGCTGAGGCGTTTCTTGGTTGAATTAGGGAATGCGGATAAAATACTTGGAATCCAGGTGCATTACCAAGGTCCTATATAAGTAATTGATGTTTCAACCTCTAGTGTGCAAAAGACATTAATGTCCTTTTTATCCTATTTGTACAAAATAAATCTTGAAGTCCTATTTAGTGATGTCCCCTATATAATACTTGTGGACTTATGCCAACCGGAAAGAAATTGCAATTTTTTGATGGATGGGACATGGAATCTCTCTTGTGCTTTGGTTGTGCAAAAGATCGATCATGCCCTCTATTATATATCATTATTGAAAATAACCTTAAAAACCCCTTCTAGTACTCTAGTTCTGCATTTTAAATTTCAAAATTTTGATGGATGGTTTGCATGCTCCATGTAAACCAAGTTGCCTTTGAGGTGGGGAATATGTTCATCATCCTAAAAATATTGTAATTTTTTGTGATATGTACACAATTTCAATCTCTCATTTATGTAAAAGACGTTAATGCCCTCCATATCTTCATCATTGAAACTAACCACAGAAAACTTGTCCAGTGTCGTCAAGTCATGTCCCTTCTAGCAATCTAGCAAACACACCTAGGCATGTTTGACAAAACTAATTGGAAACTGTAACTTTTATTTGTTATACGAATGTTTAGAAAAATAGATGGAAGCTTTTAAAATGTGTCAAATTACAAAAAAGAACAATTGTTTTAAAAGGATAAATATCTAAATATATTTTTAAGGGCAATTTTGGAAATTGATTTAAAAATCTCAATAGCTTTTTCTTAAACGCTACATGAAATAGCTTTTAGATTTGAAGCGTTTTGTTTAAACTGAAAGTTAAATGCTCGTACTCTCAAACAAAGCTTTTTGTTTAAATAAAGTTTTTTTGTTAAAAGCTAAAAGCTCCCAAACGCACGCTGCCAAACACACCCCTAATAGTTCATGCCAGTGACACAAACTTTCACTTTGAGTCAATATCAAAAATTATCTAGTAACTTGATCAATTAGTGTTTGTTTTATCTCTCAATTATAACAAAAAATGTATTCATAAATTCTACGTTTTGTGATTGTATTTTACAGCAACTTTGATTATTATGTTTCTTAGGTTTGTGCATACAAAGATGGGAAAGTGATCATTGATACTGCAGCTGGAGTCATGGGAAATGATGACCCTCGTCCAGTTCAACCCGATTCCTTGTTTCCCGTTTTCTCTACAACTAAGGGCGTCACAGCAGGAATGATACACTGGCTGGTCGATAAAGGGTATTTTCGTCAATTCGATATTTTTAACACCCATAAGAGGAGCTATGTGGTATCATATCATGAAAGGAAATAATAATATGATATTTTCTTCATCACAGGAAACTGAAGCTTGACGAAAATGTTGCGAACATTTGGCCTGAGTTTGGTACTAATGGAAAAGATCAGATAAAGGTTCTCCTGATCATCCCAACTCTTTTTTTTTTTTTTTTTTTCCTTATTCTTAATGTTATTTTTATAATCTGATTCAACTTGAACACACATTAGTAGTTACAATTTCATTATTTTTGTATATTTCTTTATAATGTTTGCAGGTTAATCATATACTTAATCATACATCTGGTTTGCACAATGCTCTTGCTGGCATTTCTGAAAATGATCCTGGGTTATTTTGTGATTGGGATGAGTGTGTAAAACGTATTGCAATGGTGGCACCAGAGACTGAACCTGGTTGTGAACAATTATATCATTACTTTTCGTATGGTTGGCTATGTGGTGGGATCATTGAGGTACTATATACATGCATCTTCTATTTTAGGACTGTTTTTTAATGATATATGAGGAGGGTATTCACATCTTTTATTTTGACAAGAAACTAGACTGAGTCTTGTCCCGTAGTCCCACTCTGTTCGGCCTTTTGTGTGGTGTCATGTTTTACTTGACTTGAAGATGTTTTATTATTATTTTTTTTTATTATTTTCATTGATGTATATGTTCTTAAATGTGCAGCGTGTAACTGGGAAAAAGTTTCAGGATGTTCTTGAGGAAGCTTTTGTACGCCCCCTTAATGTGGAGGGAGAGCTTTATATAGGGATTCCTCATGGTGAGATTCACGAAAAATTCACGGAATAAGAAAGATTTGTATTCTTTATTTCTGTTTAGCCACGTAACTATTTTTTGTATGTACTCATCATTAAAGATTAAACATTATAACAGTTTTTGACCATTTTAAAACTCATTTTCCTCGGTACCGTATTTTGAAAAATATATTAAAATACAGAAATATACATTGTTCTTTCACCATTTTATTAATTTAAGCACTAAACTACCTTGTTTTCTTAATGATTTTTAAGGGGTTTCACTATTTTCTGCAAACTAATTTTTTAGAATGTTTTAAAGTTGCTAAGTAACCAATTTTATCTTTTAAATTTTATTACAAGTTTGGTCCGAATTGAAAATTTTGTTACAAATTCACCCCGAATTTAGTTTTCTTTTTTTTACAATTTTTTTATACAACTTCTTTTAGACTTTTATAATGATTAATAAGATTTTTTTCTTTAACATTTTTCGAAGTTTAAAAAAAATTCTTTTAGAATATTTTCTTATTTTTTTTCCCAACTTTTGCATTGTAAACATTGCCTTATATACATTAGCAAATCATATATATATATATATATATATATATATATATATATATTATATATATATATATATATATTTTACTATTTCTTTTGATTTTTGATAATTTTTGTTATTTCATCAAATCCAAGTGCTACAAAATCAATGAGAAAAATTTGTTTTCTAATGTATATGAGGCAATGCAAAAGCTAGAAAAAAGTTAAAAAAATATTGTAAAAGACTTTTTTTTTAAATGTTGGAAAAAAGTTAAGAAAAGATCTTATAAACTATTATAAAAAAAGTTGTAAAAAAATTAAATTTGGGTCAAATTTATAACAAAGTTTTAAATTCGGACAAAATTTATAATAAAATTAACATCTTGGCCAAAAGCGTCAAATTTTAAAGAGGGTGACCAATTCAACCTGGGATAGCATGTAACCATAAACATTCAGAAAACATGAGTTGGTTATCTTTTTAAAATATAAAATCGATTATTTGACAGTTTAAGACATTCTAAAAAGTTAGTTTCCAAAAAACAGTAATAACTATTTTTTAAATAATAGTTGAGTGGTAAAATCTATAAAATTGTGAAACTATGTTGTTAGTGTTTTTCTGTATATTGTCATGATGTACACGTATACGGTCAAATGGATTTTTAAACCATCAAAAACGTATATAATGGTTTAATCACACTATAGAAAATATATGTTTCATAATCCATAAGAAATTTGGTTTTTATGCGAATAATCCAGGTGTGGAATCTCGTCTGGCAACTCTTACATACGATACAACTGAATTCAATACGTTTGCCTCTCTAGCGGCAAACACCGAGTTCAGGACTGCATCCGCCACGCCTTCCTCACTCACCGCGGAATTGCTTGAAGATCTTATTCCCTTATCCAACACCCTTGATGTCCGCCGTGCCATACTACCTGCCGCCAACGGCCACTTCTCGGCCCGTGCATTGGCCCGCTACTATGCCGCCCTCATGGACGGCGGCATCACCCCTCCCCGCCACTCCTCATCCTCTCTCCCACCACTCGGAAGCCACCCTCACCACCCCACATCCCCATCCAATAACCAAAAAGACGAAACCAACGACGCAAGTGATGAAATCAATACTAAAATCTTTAGCACACCAAAATCAAAACTTCATGATGCGTTCTTGGGTAGCGGAGATTATAAGGATTTAATCTTGCCAAATGACAAATTTGGGCTTGGGTTTGGGAGGGTTAAGACAACCGATGGTTTGGTGATTGGATTCGGTCATGCAGGCTTAGGTGGTTCGACGGGATATTGTGACATAAACAACGGGTTTTCTATTGCTGTGACTGTAAACAAGATGTCTTTCATGGATTTACCCACCTCTCAGATTATCCGGTTTGTTTGTTCGGAACTTGGTCTTCCTGTACCTGAGGATCATGCGGGATCTTTTGAAGTCATCGAGAAATCGGTGATCAATTAAGGGGGTTTGATCAAAATATGCTCTACTTACATAAACAATATTTGAGGGAAACTTTATTGTACTTGTTTTCTATATATAGCACATTTGAGTTGAAACAGTTGAAGGAAGTTTACATTTATTGTGTAAAGTGACCTTCTATTCACTCATTTGTTATTTAATGTTATTATTGTGATGATAAATATGATTGCAATGTGGAAAAACTTAATGCTACTGATAAAAACGTTTTCAACAGATACTTTGAATACATGTTGTTATCGTTGTTGATTACAAAGTTATGATTGTGATTCATATTTTAAGCGGGTCATCATCCCAACGGATAATATTGTCTAGGTTAGAAATCACGTTTGTTGTATTGTAATTTACTTTCATTTATCGTCGATGGACAATAGGCTTCTGTCTCTTTCTTATATTGATGGTGAAGGATGGATTTTATTGTTGTGATTTCAAGTTTACAAAATAAAACTTTAGAATCGCCTATTAATTTAAATTTCGCATAATAAGAAAGCTTACAAAATAAAAGGAGAAATAAAAAATATTAATTTCAATTTCACAAATTAACTCGCATCCTATCGTCGTTTCATGTTGACGTTGGGTATCTAAACTCGCAAACTATCGACGTTCACTCATTAACCCCTCAAACATAGTTGACAGTTGACTCATAGCCTATCGTCATTTTGTCAACGACTATGGGTATCTCGACTCGCAGTTTCCGTCGTCAACCCCTCATGGTACATAATTGCAACATATAATCAAGCAATTAACATATATACAAAAGACTAATCTAATCTATTTGTATAAACATACACTTTGAGTACCTACATCCTATCATACAAATGATATCTACAGTTAAACGAAGTATAACCAGAAAAAATCATCTGAAAACCGAAAAGCTGAAATATCACAAACACACTTAATTCCTCATAAGAATCGGTCTCATGAACCACCTAAATAACAATAAAATGTCAAACCTCAGTTGATAACCCAATGGCCAATCCTTCCGAGTTAGACTAAAAGTCAAATTGGTAAAAAAGGCAACGGTCAAAATCAACGGGGGAGATGTGACCAGACCAGACACTCCGCGCCCCACAACATGAAAAAAATAGTCGTGAAAGTTTTCTAGAGGCACGCCGTGCTCAATGTCTTAACAACATATTTTGCTAAAACTCTTAATCCCTTCGGCCAAGAGCTAAAACGTCCTGAATCTTAAAAGGATCTTAACGGATAAACTTAACAACTTTATCCAGATCCATGGCTTAATCAATCACAAACTCTAACTACAGACTCTAACCCTAACTCCAAAATGTGACCATTAAGATAAAAATCCCATGCATGGCTCAAAAAGAATGCATGAACACTCATTTTCTACCATCAAAATTTACAAAAGTCATTCTAATTCAAGAATAATGTTTTTGAGTTATCTAAACTCCAAAAACATCATGAAAATAGACCAATAAAGACCAATATCTCAACGAAAGTTTAGATCTATGGAAAGAAAGCATAAAGGTAGAGACTTTAAACTTACAATGGTTCACAAATGTGCTGAAATGGTTGGATCTACTTTAGATCTAAACTCTCTTGAACCAAAATGTGCTTCCTTCACCTTTAAGCTACACCATCAAGTCATAAAAGCTCAAGAACACAAGAAATGGAGGCCAGGGTTTCGAGAGATGCATTTTTGGAGAATGGGGCTTCCAAATAAGGCAATACTAGAAGTTAATGCCCTTAAATAGAGTCCAAGGCAAGAGAATTGGGGTTTATCTACTAGCTAGGGAGTGTTACATAATTACTTAAGTGCTTCGCGACCGACAAGCGCCCTGGCACACTGCATCTGCAAAGAGGCGTGTCACGCCTCAGTCCAAAATGCCCCCCTAAACAAAATTCAAAGACTTAATAGTTTAAAAAATACATACCAAGAAATTGAGTGTTACATGACCCTGGCTAAGCACAAGGAGTTTTGAAATCACACGCACACACACACACACACACACACATATATATATATATATATATATATATATATATATATATATATATATATATATATATATATATATATATATATATATTGCTACGTCGGGTCTTGTAATCTACGGGTGTTCTGTCTAGTTCGTATATTTGATGGGTGTGTGTTGTGCTTGGATTCCAACTATAAAATTGGATCAACATCAAGAAAGAGACCATTAAACTTTCCCGAGGGAATGTTCCCCGTGAGCAAGCTCCAATAATCAAGTTATATTGCTATGTATAGAGAGTTAACTCCTCCTAGAGAGAGGGAGCCGAATGTATAGAGACAGAGATGTCCATGAGAAAGATTGAAATGAGTGAAGAACACGTACCTAGGGTTTTTAGAAACAACATGGGAACGAGATAATGTGGTCACTAGGAGAGGAATATTAAGTAAGTTTTCTCATAGGACAAAAATATAAAAATAAAAAGGAGTTGAAAATAAATTATTCAACTGCATGCTTTGGAAACCAGGTTTAATCTGTTCTTCACTAAAAATGTAAAATGAGGTTATATGTAGGGGACTCTTCCATTTAATGATAGTCAAGTTGGTGTACCAACCCACACATTAAGGTAAAGACAAAGAAGATAACATGAAAGATCTAACCTATCCTTGGTTGATAAAAGCTTCGAGGTTAATATTAAGAAGAAAACTAGTATGTCAAAACATATAAACATGAACATGCATGCCTCCATACATGAAATATTAGATCTACAACAACAAGGTTCAACACTAAACCAATAATGTACCAGTTAGAATCTAATCCTGCAGTCCTAGTAAGGGTCAAACTAACAACTTGATACAATTGATTATTTATTAGAAATTGATTTTAATAAATATTCATAAACTCTTATAATAAATTGGGAAAATATTTATTTCATGGAAATAATTATTTTACTATACAAGTAACACATTATTTCATAAGGTATGAATTAATAAGTTATGCACAACTTTTTGGACTAGTTGAAACATTTTGTCTTTTAGCAAAAGACAAAGTTTATATTTTATAAACTTAGGTTTTGTAAAATATAAGCTATCCATCTTTTATATATATATATATATATATATATATATATATATATATATATATATATATATATATATATATATATAGCCAAAACTCTTTTAGTTAAGAGAGTTATGATCTTTTGATTTGTTTATTAAAAATAAATGGGTAAGGTGCAAGCATGGGGAGACAAGTAGCCTTAGGTGCATGGAGTGCTTAATGGGTTAAGGACTTGTGGGTAATATTCTTGCTTTATGAAGGCTTTAGAGGCTTTAATTTACCACACACTCTCTTGCATGATTTTTGGCTGAAAATCCTCTCAACCCTCTCACTCTCTTACCTTCTTGCAAGTATTGAAGAGTTAGAAGTTACTTACATTCTCTCTTTAAGTCATACCTTTGTTTTGACTTAAAGCTTAAGAGTTATAACTAGCATTACATCAAGTTGATCAATTGTTGGTGTCCTAAAGTTCATCCATCTTCTTCAACATCCAAGCCTCCCGTAGAGGACCCAAATTTCATCAAAGGTTGTTGCATCTTCTTCCTTCTATGGTTGTGCTTTAAATCTTTCTACTACTTTCAAGATGATCCTTGGTGGGTGATAAAATGTTTATGTTATTTATAAAACTCAAGTCTTCCGTTTGCAATTATTTGTAGTTTTTGAAACTAGTTTTTAAATAAAACCCAACAATTGGTATCAAGAGCCACCTTGCAAGTTTGGTTAGATTTTTTTGATTTATGGAAATCTTAGTTTTTATAGAATATGGATAACTTGTTTTTGTATAAAAAATAAGTTCATACATATTTTCTTTGACAACTTTATAATTGTTATTTTAAGTGACAAAAACTTACATGCATTTTTTGTCACTTAAAGTTGTCTTAGAAAAACAAAGGTTGTTTTATGTTTATATGTATTTTAGAGTGCATAAACAAGCCTTGGACCATTTGTGTTGTTGTTTGTGTGATTTGGTTGAAAATGGTTTGTAATATTCTTTTATTCATAAAATATGTAATAAAAGTAGCTAGTTTTTATTCTTGTTATTTTTTATGTAATAGATTAGTTTTAGAATAGATTTATTTTATGAAAAATGTAACAAGATGAAAACGGAGGCCATTTCTTGAAGAACCATGGAGACCCACAGTTTTATAAAGATTTAATAAAAGTTCATAACTTTTATAAAGTTTTTATAAAATTACAACAAAGTTAGTTGTCATTGCAAGTGGGAGCTTGAAGACCACATGAAGAACAAGTTGTAATATTTTGTCCCTTTGTCCATTAGGAAGGACTTAACACTTTCGTGTTGGCTCACAAAAGTGTTATATAGTTTAATGCTTGTTTATGTCAAATGCATGTTTGTGTTGTTTATTTTTCAAGTAAATATTTTGTGTGGTTGATAATTTAGTTTTTCATAAACTCAAACTATTTTTTGGACAAAATAAACATCACATGAAGTTTGGGTTTCAAAATATAAAATATGGATATTGGATGTAACATATTCTAGCCATAAAATAAAAAATCGGTTTTATAAAATTGTTAATTACAGAAACTTTTGAAATATTGAATTATAAGTGTAAACATCATGTTTTTATGACTTATTCAAATTCCAAAGTATTATTTAATAAAAGAAAGTTTTATTAAACAATATTAAAATGTTCTAAATGGCTCAAACACAAACTTAATACTAGGTATTAATTTTAAAATTGAACCAAGCCGAAAGTAAAAACCGAGTTTTTTTGTAAAAACCTTAAAAGTGATTTTTTTAGAAAATTGATACCATGACATATTGGATTCATGCAATTGTCATGATATCACATGTTTTAAATAGAATAATAAAAATACAAATCCCTTTTTCAAAATTCAAGTCTATGCCATCCAACTTTAGAAACAATTTGCACATCACTTGTATAATGCTAGTGGGATAAAGGATATCTAACCATTAGTATCATCTTTTGGTGGCCAAAGTATTTTTGCGATTTCTATAACCAAGTTATAGGCCAATTATACAAGTTTCTCTAATTGGATGACTTGATTGGAAACCTCTTGTGATAAAGGTCACCTAAGCAAGAGTGTTCCAAGGCATAGATGAGACCAA